TTTTTTCTAAATATAAAATTTTTATCTGAAAAGAAAACTTTGAAGATAATGACTAAGACAAAAAGTTTAACTCAATAAATATTTTTTTTTTTAAAGTTTCAACCAGGCATTTCTGCGAGCATACATTACAGGTTTCTTAACAATTTTATTTTTACTATACAATTTTTTATTTACATCAAAATGTGCTGGTAATTGAGCATCATTTAATGTTTTCAAAAATACATTTCTCCCCACTGGAGCTGATTTTCTATTTCGTAAAAAGTCATTTATAAGATTTACTATATTACTTCCAGGAACAGCTTTATCTTCATGAATAATCTCCCCTTTATTGTTCCATAGGAGAGATTCATTATTTTTTAAAAATTGGTACATATCTTTAGCTTTTTCTTGAAATCGAGCTGGAACTACAGTTAGGATTTTATCCTCCAAGTCTTCTGTTTCTTTTTTGATATTTGAAGAGTCCTCTTCTGCAGACGCATCTACAGGATTCTCTACATTTGTAATATCCTGTTGTTCCGTTTGAGGTTCTAATTTATCGGGTTTCATAATTGAAAAATGAGTGTATTTCTGTAACGCTTGCGAATACAGAGCTGCTTTATCGTGATCAGCTAAATATTTGTTCTGCAGAATATTTTTCATTTGCTGATCCAACTCTGATAAGTGTTCTTGAATTTGGACCCTGTCTTCAGGAACTAGCACGAATTTCTTACTGTGCTCCATGAATTAAAGAACTAATAACTGATATAGCGGCAGGTAATAAAATAGATAAAAATCCTTCTCCCTTTTGAATGAGAATTTTCTTTTTCTTATATAAGGGTGTTTTTTTGTTTGAAAGTTTTCGCAAATTTTCTTTAAACGGAGATAAACGACTTTTTTGAGTTTTTGTTAGGGGTATATTTCCACACAACACATTTAAGACACATTCACACAAAGTTTTTATCTCACTTTTTGAACACTTTTTCAGAAGATACTTAGAATTTTTAGTTTTAGAAATTAATTTTAAGAGCTGTAAAGTTTGTTCAGTACACACTGACATCTTGTAATCAAATGAATGATGCAATTACTATTCGAGTGTATTTATCGTTACTCCAAAAATCTTACAAAGGCTTTCACTTTAGTGAGTGCGCATCTTTTAAAATTAGGAGTGTGATAAGGACAAGAGTCTGAATTTGCAACTAATTTATCAATTTTTGGGCAGTCAATATCTTCTAAATTTTCACATTTTCTCCCGATTAAAAATTCCAAAAATTTTTTTTTCTCTAATCCTTTAACATAAATATGTGTGAACATATTTGACAAAAAGTTCAAAACTGTGCGTAGTTGATAATATGGCAGTTCTCCTTCATTCCATTCAAATGTATATGTTTTGTTACCCATTTATATTGAAATTTCTGATGACGAGTAAGTTCATCAAAAGAACATGGCGGAAGAAAATGAAAGTTTCCGATGATAGAATTACTATTTACGGCCTGAAAGGCAAGTTCTTTTACGATATAGTTGCCTGAAGATTGTTGAAATCCTTCGAAATCTATTACGATGGTAGACATGTTGCTACTTAAGAATCATTTACTTAAATGAAGTTAGCGGGGTTGATAAACATAAAAAGTGTCTCCGGGAAACATACCCGTGCGCACGCGCATAGATTCATCAGTTTCCGATTTTAAATCTATAAGTAAATAACCGTATGGTTTTGAAGTTGCATCTTCAAAACATTCCTGAAAAAACTTTACTTTACGAGGATATAATTGGCGACCTAAATGCGTAATTTGTGATTGATCTCTTCGATTTTTGAACAACACAAGATAATGAGCATTTAGGGATATTTCTCTAATTTCCTTCCCTTTGTGAAAAATGTTTTGTACCACAAATATTATACTTAAATTTTTATGATGGGAAAATTTAGTAAATAATTTAGTTATTTGTGGGTCATTTCCTAATTCACTCATCAGATCGTCAATGATAATCAATGCATTTGAATAGTGATTCAAATTTGATGGTATACCATCATGGAAAGTAACATTTCGAATTTCATCATATAATTTTTGATAAATACCATAGCACCAAATTATTTCTTTCGGGAAGGGTTTAATCATTTTATTTTCTATTAGCTTTTTAATATAATGGGTTTTACCGCTTCCTGATGGACCAGAGACGATCATCGAGAAAGCGTGTCCTAATTTAAGAACATCCATCGCAAAACTGATTCTTTTCGCTTATAACAAAACTATTTATGTGAGAATATTGCAAAATTAAATGTTTAAACAAATAATTTTATAATAAAATTTTTAATAAAAAAATAGTAATAAAATATTTTTCTTTAAGTAATTCATTTATTTGTATTTTGTATAGTCTAAAATTTAAAATTATTGTTTGATTTTTTAAGTATTTACTCGATAATAATCATTATTCTCTCCCACATTGCTAACTTTAAAGCATAGAAACATGCTTTTACAAGATAAAATTGAGTGTGTGATTAATGTCTATATGATGAATCACAGTACAATACATGCCCTGACTGTTATTAGTCAACTACATGAATGAATGGGGACTGCACAGGTAGACCAGGCTATAACGTGTTGTGAAGGTGAGTAAAGGTGAGAATATAGTTGAAAAACTAGTTCTTTGAATGGTGATAACGTATAGTACCATTCATAAATGTATCACTCATAGAAAATTCTTTAGTTATGATAGAATAGGTTACAGTTAAGGTGGTTTACTTCCAAACGACTTTTAAACTAGCCTATCCAAGTCTTTGTGTCGAGCATACTTACTGCGCATGATCGTTACAAATTTGCTAAAGATAAAATTTGTTTGTCGATGTAGTTATCACAACGTTGTGTTGGTTTTAAGGCTTCAACATGTATACTTGCAGCATTTGTGGGAAGTGTTTTAATACGAACTACAATTTAAAACGGCACATCTTACAAGTACATGAGAAAAAACATACGCATTCATGTATTGACTGCTCTAAAAAATTTGTTCGTAAAAGTGATCTGCAAAGACACAGAGACTCTGTGCATTCTACTGAGAAAATTTCATGTGAAACGTGTGCTACAGAATTCAGCAGAAAAGACAATTTATTTCATCACTTAAAAAATGGAAATTGTCAAAGAAAATTGGCAAAGCAGAATAAGAAAAGAAAGCGAGATGATGATAATGAACCCAACAAAAAGACGGTGATTCTAAACAATCAACAAGGTGGTGCAGTGCATTCATCTACCGAGCCCTCAACGTCTGGACTTCCAATATTATCCGAACCTTCAACATCTTCAGGACTCCCAACCTTTGCCGGACCTTCAACATCTACCATTGCTTCTACATCTGCAGAAAACTTGGATAGAACCAAATTGTCACGAACAAAAGAATCAAAAAGTGCTTTCAAAAAGGCCTATAGAGAATTCACTCTAAAAAATGATGATAGAGAGATCGGTATTCCGGAGTTTTTAAGAAGTAAAAAGGATGAAACTACTGAAATATTTCTATCTGAACTTAAAAAACATGAATCACTGAAAGTGAGATTGTTAATATTTTGCATCTATCAAAAAGTAAGTGATGACTTGGTCAAGCGAATAAAAAATGTCGAGTTCAAGACAGCAAACAAATCCGTTTTCGCCTCTACAAATAAAAGTGAA